CTCGGAATATTCTTCGCTGTCGCCGGAATGCTCCGAGTCGCTCCCGTCCTCCTCCTCGCTGGCGCTGTCCGAGACACATGCTATCTGCCCGACGCCCCTCCCAGCGCTACCCCCCACGCTCTCGCCCGGCATTCTGCCTGTCTGGCCGGCGCTCCGTCGCGGCTGCTGAAACCCCACCCCCGACTGATTGTTAGTTCCACGACGCCCCACTCGCAGGTTGGAGAGTGCGGAGTCGCTACAGTACCCTGCTGCTTTGTGGGCCCTCCGGCGTCGTCCCCACTGGCCAGCCTCCGGCCGCGTGCCTCGACCCCCCCGGCCCCGGACAGTTGGCCCCATCGCCGCGCGCCTGAAGGCAGGTCCCCCAACATCGGCGTCCATTCCGTGCTCGAAGGTCTCCTTGATTACCTCGCCTGAGCCCCCCAACTCCCCGTCGTCACCCTCGTTATCGTCCTCGCTATCCAAAGCGTGGCTTCTCTGCCCAGCGCCCCCCCCCACGTTTTCCATCGCGTCCTCTCCCAGCGAATTGCCTGTGAGGCGGGCGCTCCATCGTGGCTGCTCACACCCCGACTGTTGTCATCCCCCCGGCGCCACACTCGGAGGTCGGGGCCGCTGGTTCCGGCTGCGGAGGGGGCGGCGAGCGCAACCTTCTGCGCAGGGTCGCCACCGTCCCATGCTGCTTTGTGCCCCTCCTGGCCCCGACCCAGGCCGCTGTCCCTCCGCCACCTCGCTGCCGCCGGCAAACGCAACGCACCGGCTCCCGGCCGCACGGCGGCCCCCACGTCATTGGACGGGCCGGGTGTCGGGCAGCCGCGCTGACTTTCGCCGGAGCTCCCGCTGCCCTTGTCGAGGGTGATGACGAAGTCCCCCGCGTCAGACTTGGAGAAGCGGACGACATCTCCGGCGGCGATCCGATGTCCCCTTGCAAAAGCGGCGAATTGGCCGCAGCAGCATGCCTTGCCGTACTCGCCCCGTGACCGGAATCTGTAGAAGAGGAAGCATTCTGAGCCCTCTGGAGCGGACATAAGCATGCTCTCGTAAGTACTATCGGAACGCCGGAAGCTCGAGGCGACGCTTTGCTCGTGTTTCAACGTACTTTTCGCTTACCGGGGTGGCGACAGGCGCAGCAACTTCCCAGCCACCACCCTTGCAATATTCAAAATGCCCTTTCTGCAGACACCTCTTCACGACAGCTCGTTTTGAATGGGTCCTCAGCATAACGAGGATGGCGTCGCCAGTGAGAGGTTTTCGCAACGGCAACCAATGGCACAGCTAATTACCTCACTCGACACGTTCCTCCCTCGGGGGCCCGGAAAACTTGCGCCAGCGGGAGGGTGCCTCCGATTGCTTCTGCAATCCGTTGTGCATCGCCCTTCCCGATCCTGAGTCCGTCCGTCCTCGCCATGATGATGTTGACGTCGTATTGCGTGACGACTTTCTCGAAGAACACCGTGTGGTGGGCCAGGGGTGGCTTGCCCGCGACAGCAGCTGTCCCTCTCACGACCGTTGCGTCATGCCGCGACCGCTGCGCCGCACCTTCCGGATCCGACGTCAGCTCCGCTCGTCCCTCGACCTCCGGCTCTGCGTCTGGACCGCGAGCGAAATCCCGATTTGGCTGGCCCGCTAAGCCCCGGTCCAACGCTTCCGTCCCCGGGTGAGCACCGTCTAACGCCTCGGGCAATGCTCTCCGGGGAACACCCCGCGCCTCCTTCGCCCCGTCGGCGGCCCCCCCTTCCCGAAACTCGGAATCGGCCGTGTTAGAATCCGGTGATTATGGTCAGCCGGATTACTCCGTGATTAGGGTTCGGACCGAGTTAGGGTTTGAACTAGTGAGCGCCGGCGTGCGTGCACAGCGGTTAGGCGGTTAACCTTGGAGGTTAGGCGGTTGAGAGGGCCGCCGATATGGAGCCGTAGATGAGGATATCGATGGCTATGATTGAGTGTGAGTGTGATCTAGGCTAGTGAGCCTAGTAGTGTGTGACTTAGGCTGTGAGCCTAGTAGGCTAGTG